ACCATACTTACCTGCAACACCACAAGAACTGTTGACTGACACAGAAGCATGCCCAGCTTCATATCACACAAGGTCAGGAAGAGAGGTCAAGCCTAGAGCTGTCCTAGACCTGTGAAATGTCAAAGGGTGTAGGCGGATCGCTGCCCTAAAAGAGTTTCCAGACTGTAAACTTGTTATTGAAAGTTAACTTGAAATGCTTTGGTATTGTATTTGTTTGATATGTTGAGATGTCATTGCTACAGTGAAAAGCCGAGTTGCTGAGAAATATTTGTTCTAAAAATAACAATATGCTGAATCATTGTTTGTCTGTTATGTTGATGCAGTTGGTGCAGTTTAAATGGTTACTTACCTCGAGTTCAAACTACAGAGCATATATTCAAAAGAAACGCTTTATTGTTCCACATATTTTTTCTTTTTTTTTAAAAGAAGGGGGATGTAATATTCATATGTGTCACCATACTGAATTGTAATTGGATGCATCATACTGTGCAATGATTGGTTAAGACCACCCAGGTGGTGAGGTCATTCTAAGATGATCATGGCCAGAGACACATGGACATGCACGTTATAGCTAGTTAATAAAGAGCTACATTTATAAATATCCTGTCCTCCTGCATTTTATTATTTTGTACAAAGCGTACAAAACAAGACAATATTCATAATCAATTTTTTGTCGTTGATGTATCCTTGTTTTTGTTATAAATTAGACGTGTTGCCTATTCATTTAGTCGATTCTGTTGCAAAACCTTTCTTTCTCCCACGGGGGGCTAGTATAAAAAAAAAATTAACAATAAAAAAATGATGTATACACTAACTAACTGTAAGTCGCTCTGGATAAGAGCGTCTGCTAAATGACTAAAATGTAAATGTTAAAAATATAAACGGAAACAAACGGAACAGGGAGGGCCTTACCTGAATTTGTCCAATAGAAACTCCAAATAGTTTCAAAACGTTCCGTTGTGCAACAGAACCGGCGGAATGAATACACCCCAGGTCACAGAGCCGCTCCTCTCCTTACCGTGACGTGGCCCTCTGTGCTAGTCGGAAGCGAGAGGACTGGCAACCTGCGATAGCATTACACATCAGAAAGGCAACGAACTAAATTACACATCAGCAAAAAATAACGTAAGAAATGCATTGTGTCTTTTTTTGCAGAAATGTAGTCGAATGATTTTTATCAAAGGCTGTATTGCCTTCCTGTCTGATTTCCCGGCGAGTTGTGCTCTGCAACGTTGGCCACTGATGAAAATAACATGATAATGGCTATCCTCATTTTGTAGGCATAACTAGCTAACGTCAGGATAGCCACAATCATGTTATTTTCATAATAATAATAATACTATTCATAATGTGCCATTGCTAATGACTAGGCGGCCAACCATCCATGTGCTGCTAAGTTAGTTAGCTACCGAGCTAATAGTCGAATGAATGGCAGGTAGTTCGTGCCTCTTTTAAAACAACTGGGAATGGGGAAACTCGTAAATCTGACTTCAGTGCGTTCAAAACAACTGGGAACTCGTAAAAAAAAAAATGAGCTCCGACTGGGGAAAACCGATTTGAACGGTCATCTATCTCGGGCTTCTTTCTTGAGCTCCGAGTTTCCGACCTGAAGATCACTGACGTCATGATTTGACCTTGTATTTTTCCAAGTTCCCAGTTGTTTTGAACGCGGCATCAGTCTATTAAAGTAGCTACTACTTAGGGGTATCTGTAGTTTACTATTTGTATATTTGACAGCTTTTATTTCACTACATTCCTAAAGAAAATAATGCACTTTTTACTCCATACATTTTCCCTGACACCCAAAAGTATTCGTTACATTTTGAATGATTAGCAGGACAGGAAAATGGTCCAAATCACGCACTTATCAAGAGAACAAACCTGGTCATCCCTACATCAGCGTCTCCTCAGGAACACCAAAAAATTACTTCCGGGTCGCGGAATTACGGATATTTTCTAAATTAAAGTCCCCTACATAATAGTAGAAAAGTGTACATCTGTATTTATTCATGATATATGAAAAGCAATTGTCTAAACATTAACAATGATTCATATTTAAGTGACATTTGCATTAAATCTGGGTTTTAAAACATGCCCCCTCCCCCCCACACACACACACTCCAGTTGGGGTCTTTCAGTAAATCATCTCTTAGCTGTAAATTGCGAATTTGGCAAATGGAAATCTGAACTTAGTTCACCGAATTATTTAACTTGCTTGTTCTTCAAAACGTGGTTTATATATTGCAAATGAAGTAATGACCACCTTTGGAAACCTGAATCTAGTGATGGGACGAAATGTGGAAGATACAGTATGCAATACCAGTTTAAGGCTGATATGTCCATAGGCAGATGGAGATTGCGTTGCATTTTCCTCCTAATATGGAGCGCCTGCTTGGACCACAGGTTCTTAATATCACGGTCTGTCCTCTTTCCCTGCTTGGACCACAGGTTCTTAATATCACGGTCTGTCCTCTTTCCCTGCTTGGACCACAGGTTCTTAATATCACGGTCTGTCCTCTTTCCCTGCTTGGACCACAGGTTCTTAATATCACGGTCTGTCCTCTTTCCCTGCTTGGACCACAGGTTCTTAATATCACGGTCTGTCCTCTTTCCCTGCTTGGACCACAGGTTCTTAATATCACGGTCTGTCCTCTTTCCCTGCTTGGACCACAGGTTCTTAATATCACGGTCTGTCCTCTTTCCCAGGGAAGCTCTTACTGCTAGGGGGTTTTACATTTTAGTCATTTAGCGACGCTCTTATCCAGAGCGACTTACAGTGAGTGAAGGCATACATTTTCATACTGGCCCCCCCGTGGGAAACGAACCCACAACCCTGGCGTTGCAAGCGCCATGCTCTCCCAACTGAGCTACAGGGGACTATAGGTATTGACCACCTTTTTAGCTTTTCTATTTCAAGATGAATCTTCTCAAAGTAATCATTGGTTGGAGTTGGGTGGTCCAGTAGTTTGGTCACCCTGGACCACCTGATTCTGTTGTAGTGTTTTGTACCTCACCCTCCATAGGAACCTTACCATAGGAACCTTACCATAGGAACCTTACCATAGGAACCTTACCATAGGAACCTTACCATAGGAACCTTACCATATGAACCTTACCATAGGAACCTTACCATAGGAACCTTACCATAGGAACCTTGAAATAGGCGTTCTAATTGTTGAAATATGGATCCCTGGAACCAGAACAGGTGGTGACTGAAATGGGAATAGCAGTCTGGGAAGAATATTCATCTTAAATGTTTCCACCTTTCCTGATAAAGTGAGAGGTAAAAATCATCCATCTTCTAAAATCTGGTTATCACATGAATGAATTTGTTAGTTTGTTTTATACAGGTCCTCGAGAGATAGGAGTAGTGATGCCTTGGTATTTTATCCCCTTGTTGACAGGCAGGGTACCTGATGGGGGGTGAACCCATTCATGGCATAGGCTTCAGTCTTACTTACATTCCATTTATATCCTGAGTAAATCCCATGTTTTCATACATTTGATCAAGCATGGCAGAGTTGTGTACATCCAGACATAAACAGCATGCAGAGAGATCTAATACGCTTCCTCACCAATTTCTATGCCTTTTGATATTCAGACTGGATCTTATCATCTGGGCAAGAGGTTCAATACTAATGGCAAAAAGGAGCGCGCTCAGTGGGCATCCTTTAATGATGGAAGGTCCAGATGTCCATTTACTCAGGCTCTAGTGTGGGGAGTTGAATAAAGGGTTTGGATCCATCTAATGAACTTAGGGCCAAATCCAAATTCATGCAGCACTTGAAACCGATAAGGCCATGATACCTGATCAAAGCCTTCTGTGCATCCACGACCAGACCTGATCAAAGCCTTCTGTGCATCCACGACCAGACCTGATCAAAGCCTTCTGTGCATCCACGACCAGACCTGATCAAAGCCTTCTGTGCATCCACGACCAGACCTGATCAAAGCCTTCTGTGCATCCACGACCAGACCTGATCAAAGCCTTCTGTGCATCCACGACCAGACCTGATCAAAGCCTTCTGTGCATCCACGACCAGACCTGATCAAAGCCTTCTGTGCATCCACGACCAGACCTGATCAAAGCCTTCTGTGCATCCACGACCAGACCTGATCAAAGCCTTCTGTGCATCCACGACCAGTGCCATATTTCCCACCCTGAGTCCTGGCAGAAGATGGAACATTCAGGCATCTTCTTTCATTATCCAACAGCTGATGATCAGGGTGAATAATATCGGCTATAGCTTTTCCTAGTCGCTTTGCCAAGATGGAAGTAAGCAGTGTGTAATCATTTTGGAGCAAAGCCATAGGCCTATATGAAATACAGTCAGTAGCATCATCTTTATAACACTGATCAGAGATTCTCCCAAGTATAAGGAAGCTCTCCGGTTTCTAGTACATTAGAAAATACTTCCACTAGTAATTGGAGTGACGGGGTCCGGGAAGGTTTTATAGAATTCATGAATGGATCAGAACCAGACCTTTTATTGTTTTCCAGTGTTTTAAAGCTGTTCTGATATCGGCTTCTGATCTGATCTGGGTCTGGTTCCATCACTACTGAGGCCGTTCAATTCCTCGGAGGAAACCTTGTAGTTTATCAGGCTCAGGACATCTTTCTAAATAAATTCTTATAAAACTCTGCGACGGTTGCTGATATCCTGGGGTCTTGTAGCAAAGGGTGCATTCACATCATTTCATTTGACTTTTTGAATTATAGTAGATGCCTGTTTCCTTAACCAGAATAAAAGTAAACTACTTGCTCTGTTCCCGTTCTCATAATAGCGTTGTTTTTGCTTTGTCATTATGGGGTATTCTGTGTAGACTGATGAGGAATACAAATAATTTAATTTAAAATTAATTTAATTTTAGATTAAGGCTGTAACGTAACAATGTGGAAAAAGTGAAGGTGTCTGAATTATTTCCGAATGCCCTGTGTCTGGCCCATGCCCTGTGTCTGGCCCATGCCCTGTGTCTGGCCCATGCCCTGTGTCTGGCCCATGCCCTGTGTCTGGCCGTCTGGCCCATGCCCTGTGTCTGGCCCATGCCCTGTGTCTGGCCGTCTGGCCCATGCCCTGTGTCTGGCCCATGCCCTGTGTCTGGCCTATGCCCTGTGTCTGGCCCATGCCCTGTGTCTGGCCCATGCCCTGTGTCTGGCCCATGCCCTGTGTCTGGCCCATGCCCTGTGTCTGGCCTATGCCCTGTGTCTGGCCCATGCCCTGTGTCTGGCCCATGCCCTGTGTCTGGCCCATGCCCTGTGTCTGGCCTATGCCCTGTGTCTGGCCGTCTGGCCCATGCACTGTGTCTGGCCGTCTGGCTCATGCACTGTGTCTGGCCTATGCCCTGTGTCTGGCCTATGCCCTGTGTCTGGCCTATGCACTGTGTCTGGCCCATGCACTGTGTCTGGCCGTCTGGCCCATGCACTGTGTCTGGCCCATGCACTGTGTCTGGCCTATGCACTGGCCTATATCCCTTGTCAGGCAATGTAAGCTGTAGTGTCACCAAATGATATCTTAAGTGCGACTCATTCCCTTAAATCATATTTTCATTTACATTTTTTACATTTTAGTCATTTAGCAGACGCTCTTATCCAGAGCAACTTACAGGAGCAATTAGGGCTAAGTGCCTTGCTCAAGGGCACATCGACCGATTTTTCATCTAGTCGGCTCAGGGATTAGAACCAGCGACCTTTCGGTTACTGGCACAACGCTCTTAACCACTAAGCTACCTGCCGCCTCGCACAGTGTCTGGCATTTGTTTGTCTTTTATTACATGGAGGTCTAGAGGAGAGAGAACAACATGTATTGCTGGAATAGATTAGCAAGGAGAGACCTGGTAAGGGGACTATTATTCAAAATGGCCTATTGTCTTAACCCAAAAGTAAAGAAAGTCAATAGAAATATGTTTGATTTAAAATAAGCAGAACAGAAATCAGATGTTCTATTTTAAACCTAAATATCTACCTAAAACGTATAGGCCATGACTTTGATTACGGTCTCCCATTTGACCTTTTATCATAGTTCATCTGTCATTGTGTCAAGCCTTACTGTACTTCTCCGTCTGGTTTTGTCAGGAAGTCCATTGTTAGAGTGCGGTCATCAAGGTTTTTGTTGAGTTGATGTCATCCTTTTGTCTTCCGTCCTGTCTTGCTCCTTGTGTGCAAGTTCAGTTTCAGACAGCTTTGTCTGGATCCCCAGCGTCCGCAGGCCCTCTGCTGCCTCCCATGCAGAGTTGAACATCCGTAGGCCGCTCTGCAGGAATACTTGCAGGCGGGCGGAGTAAGGTTACTGGAATCGGATGTGCTGCTCCTTCAGTTGCCTCTTGATATTCTCTCTGTTTTTTGTTGGATGTCCACCGAGTACTTCTGGTCAAAAGACACCAGTTTTTCCTGGAACACCAGCTCTTCAGCTTTCCATGCTGTGTGGCGGACGAGTTGTTGGTATCTCAGGAATCGTAGGACGATGAACCTCGGTGGTACATGAGGGTCGGTGGGAGATGAACCTATCGCTCTGTGGCTGCGCTGGACTCCCAGGTCCATCTCGGGTGGGAGATGAACCTATCGCTCTGTGGCTGCGCTGGACTCCCAGGTCCATCTCGGGTGGGAGATGCAATAGTTATTTAATGAAGGGCTCAATATCTCCTTTTTCCGTTCTTTCTGGTACTATATATTTATTATAAAAATTTTCTGGTGTGTGTGTGTGTGTGTGTGTGTGTGTGTATACGTGTATACAGTGGGGAGAACAAGTATTTGATACACTGCCGATTTTGCAGGTTTTTCTACTTACAAAGCATGTAGAGGTCTGTAATTTTTATCATAGGTACACTTCAACTGTGAGAGACAGAATCTAAAACAAAAATCCAGAAAATCACATTGTATGATTTTTAAGTAATGAATCTGCATTTTATTGCATGACATAAGTATTTGATACATCAGAAAAGCAGAACTTAATATTTGAGACAGAAACCTTTGTTTGCAATTACAGAGATCATACGTTTCCTGTAGGTCTTGACCAGGTTTGCACACACTGCAGCAGGGATTTTGGCCCACTCCTCCATACAGACCTTCTCCAGATCCTTCAGTACGGTGCAGTCGTCCTGTCCCCTTTGCAGAAAAGCATCCCCAAAGAATGATGTTTCCACCTCCATGCTTCACGGTTGGGATGGTGTTCTTGGGGTTGTACTCATCCTTCTTCTTCCAAACACGGCGAGTGGAGTTTAGACCAAAAAGCTCTATTTTTGTCTCATCAGACCACATGACCTTCTCCCATTCCTCCTCTGGATCATCCAGATGGTCATTGGCAAACTTCAGACGGGCCTGGACATGCGCTGGCTTGAGCAGGGGGACCTTGCGTGCGCTGCAGGATTTTAATCCATGACGGCGTAGTGTGTTACTAATGGTTTTCTTTGAGACTGTGGTCCCAGCTCTCTTCAGGTCATTGACCAGGTCCTGCCGTGTAGTTCTGGGCTGATCCCTCACCTTGCTCATGATCATTGATGCCCCACGAGGTGAGATCTTGCTTGGAGCCCCAGACCGAGGGTGATTGATCGTCATCTTGAACTTCTTCCATTTTCTAATAATTGCGCCAACAGTTGTTGCCTTCTCACCAAGCTGCTTGCCTATTGTCCTGTAGCCCATCCCAGCCTTGTGCAGGTCTACAATTTTATCCCTGATGTCCTTACACAGCTCTCTGGTCTTGGCCATTGTGGAGAGGTTGGAGTCTGTTTGATTGAGTGTGTGGACAGGTGTCTTTTATACAGGTAACGAGTTCAAACAGGTGCAGTTAATTCAGGTAATGAGTGGAGAACAGGAGGGCTTCTTAAAGATAAACTAACAGGTCTGTGAGAGCCGGAATTCTTACTGGTTGGTAGGTGATCAAATACTTATGTCATGCAATAAAATGCTAATTAATTACTTAAAAATCATACAATGTGATTTTCTGGATTTTTGTTTTACATTCCGTCTCTCACAGTTGAAGTGTACCTATGATAAAAATTACAGACCTCTACATGCTTTGTAAGTAGAAAAACCTGCAAAATCGGCAGTGTATCAAATACTTGTTCTCCCCACTGTGTGTGTGTGTGTGTGTGTGTATATATATATATATATATATATATATATATATATATATATATATATATATATATATATATATATATACACACATTACATTTCTTTCTCTTGATTCTAAATCTTGACATTTGTCATGAAGATCTTGTTGTTCCTTGAGAGTGAAAGAGAGCAGTCTTGAGAGTCTGGTGTCCAGGTTCTGGATGGAAGTTTTCACGTCTTCCATTTTCTATTCCACTGTTTCAAACCCACCGTTGATCATCATTTAGAGCTCCGTTAACACATCACCTATTCCAGGCACGTTTCCCTTGTTTCTTGGATTTACTGCCGCGTGGTCACACCTTTCGCATAACCGGAAAAGATTCACTTCATCTCGTATAAGGGTTTAGTAGCTTAGGAAAATCAATTAATGAATGGTGGCGTGTAGATCAGCCACAGAGAAGTAGATCAGCCACAGAGAAGCAGATCAGCCACAGAGAAGCAGATCAGCCACAGAGAAGCAGATCAGCCACAGAGAAGCAGATCAGCCACAGAGAAGTAGATCAGCCACAGAGAAGTAGATCAGCCACAGAGAAGCCTTGAGTGACAGAATGGACTCTTTCTCGTGAATGTTCCAGCCCCCTCATTATCTCAACCAATCATGGCTGATAGGTATGTTTCCCCCCCCCCCCCCCCCCCCTCCAGAATGGTGACTGATAGGTATGTTTCCCCCCCCCCCCCCTCCAGAATGGTGACTGATATGTATGTCCCCCCCCCCCCCTCCAGAATGGTGACTGATATGTATGTTTCCCCCCCCCCCCTCCAGAATGGTGACTGATATGTATGTTCCCCCCCCCCCTCCAGAATGGTGACTAATATGTATGTTTTTTCCCCTCCCCCTCCAGAATGGTGACTGACGTGCAGCTGGCCATCTTCGCCAACATGTTGGGTGTGTCTCTGTTCCTGCTGGTGGTTCTATATCACTACGTAGCCGTCAACAACCCCAAGAAACTGGAGTAGAACTGCCCTGGAGAGCAGGTGAGGAGGGAGCCATAGGTCCTCTTCGAATGGGAGCAGGCTCCGTTCTCTAATAGGTCCTCTTCGAATGGGAGCAGGCTCCGTTCTCTAATAGGTCCTCTTCGAATGGGAGCAGGCTCCGTTCTCTAATAGGTCCTCTTCGAATGGGAGCAGGCTCCGTTCTTTAATAGGTCCTCTTCGAATTGGAGCAGGCTCCGTTCTCTAATAGGTCCGGTCGGAGCCGACGCGGGATATGGCTTGAACACGTACCTCAAGCCAGGGATGCAATATTCCAATGCACTCCGAATTCGCCCAGTATCCAAACTGCCAAATCAAGGATCTTGAAATACTGCAGTTTTTGTCCTCATGCTAGCTAGCTTAGCCACAGCAGCATGGACTGGCACATCGCATTGAACAACAAAGGAGCTGATTGGCTGACTATCCTCTTGTCCAACGTCACATCATGGCTGCTGTGCATGACGATGAAAACGGCAGTCTGGATACTGGGAGCTTGTTGATTTGGCAGTCTGGATACTGGGAGCTTGTTGATTTGGCAGACTGGGAGCTTGTTGATTTGGCAGTCTGGATACTGGGAGCTTGTTGATTTGGCAGACTGGATACTGGGAGCTTGTTGATTTGGCAGTCTGGATACTGGGAGCTTGTTGATTTGGCAGTCTGGATACTGGGAGCTTGTTGATTTGGCAGTCTGGATACTGGGAGCTTGTTGATTTGGCAGTCTGGATACTGGGAGCTTGTTGATTTGGCAGTCTGGATACTGGGAGCTTGTTGATTTGGCAGTCTGGATACTGGGAGCTTGTTGATTTGGCAGTCTGGATACTGGGAGCTTGTTGATTTGGCAGTCTGGATACTGGGAGCTTGTTGATTTGGCAGTCTGGATACTGGGAGCTTGTTGATTTGGCAGTCTGGATACTGGGAGCTTGTTGATTTGGCAGTCTGGATACTGGGAGCTTGTTGATTTGGCAGTCTGGATACTGGGAGCTTGTTGATTTGGCAGTCTGGATACTGGGAGCTTGTTGATTTGGCAGACTGGGAGCTTGTTGATTTGGCAGTCTGGATACTGGGAGCTTGTTGATTTGGCAGTCTGGATACTGGGAGCTTGTTGATTTGGCAGTCTGGATACTGGGAGCTTGTTGATTTGGCAGTCTGGATACTGGGAGCTTGTTGATTTGGCAGACTGGATACTGGGAGCTTGTTGATTTGGCAGTCTGGATACTGGGAGCTTGTTGATTTGGCAGTCTGGATACTGGGAGCTTGTTGATTTGGCAGTCTGGATACTGGGAGCTTGTTGATTTGGCAGTCTGGATACTGGGAGCTTGTTGATTTGGCAGTCTGGATACTGGGAGCTTGTTGATTTGGCAGACTGGGAGCTTGTTGATTTGGCAGTCTGGATACTGGGAGCTTGTTGATTTGGCAGTCTGGATACTGGGAGCTTGTTGATTTGGCAGTCTGGATACGGGGAGCTTGTTGATTTGGCAGTCTGGATACTGGGAGCTTGTTGATTTGGCAGTTTGGATACTGGGAGCTTGTTGATTTGGCAGTCTGGATACTGGGAGCTTGTTGATTTGGCAGTCTGGATACTGGGAGCTTGTTGATTTGGCAGACTGGGAGCTTGTTGATTTGGCAGTCTGGATACTGGGAGCTTGTTGATTTGGCAGTCTGGATACTGGGAGCTTGTTGATTTGGCAGTCTGGATACTGGGAGCTTGTTGATTTGGCAGACTGGGAGCTTGTTGATTTGGCAGTCTGGATACTGGGAGCTTGTTGATTTGGCAGTCTGGATACTGGGAGCTTGTTGATTTGGCAGTCTGGATACGGGGAGCTTGTTGATTTGGCAGTCTGGATACTGGGAGCTTGTTGATTTGGCAGTCTGGATACTGGGAGCTTGTTGATTTGGCAGTCTGGATACTGGGAGCTTGTTGATTTGGCAGTCTGGATACTGGGAGCTTGTTGATTTGGCAGTCTGGATACTGGGAGCTTGTTGATTTGGCAGTCTGGATACTGGGAGCTTGTTGATTTGGCAGTCTGGATACTGGGAGCTTGTTGATTTGGCAGTCTGGATACGGGGAGCTTGTTGATTTGGCAGACTGGGAGCTTGTTGATTTGGCAGTTTGGATACTGGGAGCTTGTTGATTTGGCAGTCTGGATACTGGGAGCTTGTTGATTTGGCAGTCTGGATACGGGGAGCTTGTTGATTTGGCAGACTGGGAGCTTGTTGATTTGGCAGTCTGGATACTGGGAGCTTGTTGATTTGGCAGTCTGGATACTGGGAGCTTGTTGATTTGGCAGTCTGGATACGGGGAGCTTGTTGATTTGGCAGACTGGGAGCTTGTTGATTTGGCAGTCTGGATACTGGGAGCTTGTTGATTTGGCAGTCTGGATACGGGGAGCTTGTTGATTTGGCAGACTGGGAGCTTGTTGATTTGGCAGTCTGGATACTGGGAGCTTGTTGATTTGGCAGTCTGGATACTGGGAGCTTGTTGATTTGGCAGTCTGGATACGGGGCGAATTCGGAGTACATTGGAATATTGCATCCCTGGATTGAGGTACGTGCTCAAGCCATATCCTGCACCAGTTCCGAGCTGCCCTATTTGAGAACTGAGCCCGCTTCCGACTCAAAGAGAAATGAACATGGAGGGTCTCTGGCTAGTGAGAAGGGGGTAGGGAGAGTGAGGGGGGATATGGGGGTAGGGAGAGTGAGGGGGGGATATGGGGGTATGGAGAGTGAGGGGGGGGCATATGGGGGTAGGGGAGTGAGGGGGGATGGGGTATATGGGGGTAGGGAGGTGAGGGGGGATATATGGGGGTATGGAGAGTGAGGGGGGGATATGGGGGTCGGGGGTAGGGAGAGTGAGGGGGGGGAGGGGGATATGGGGGGTAGGGAGAGTGAGGGGGGGATATGGGGGTAGGGAGAGGAGGGGGGGGGGATATGGGGGTATGGAAGTGAGGGGGGGATTATGGGGGTAGGGAGAGTGAGGGGGGGATCCCCAATGGGGTAGGGACCGACCCCTATATTGGGGGTAGGGAGAGTGGGGGGGATATGGGGGTAGGGAGAGTGAGGGGGGGATATGGGGGTAGGGAGAGTGAGGGGGATATGGGGGTAGGGAGAGTGAGGGGGGGATATGGGGGTAGGGAGAGCTAAAGAGTGTTTGAGGAGGGGGTGAAGAAAGGGGTGAGTAACCCTCCTAGTCAGGCATTGAAGCTTCTGGGCACAGATATGAGATCAGTTTACCCAGTCTACCAGTGTTGTAACCATCCTGTCAGGCTGTGGTATGGGGTCAGTTTACCCAGTCTACCAGTGCTGTAACCATCCTGTCAGGCTGTGGTATGGGGTCAGTTTACCCAGTCTACCAGTGTTGTAACCATCCTGTCAGGCTGTGGTATGGGGTCAGTTTACCCAGTCTACCAGTGTTGTAACCATCCTGTCAGGCTGTGGTATGGGGTCAGTTTACCCAGTCTACCAGTGCTGTAACCATCCTGTCAGGCTGTGGTATGGGGTCAGTTTACCCAGTCTACCAGTGCTGTAACCATCCTGTCAGGCTGTGGTATGGGGTCAGTTTACCCAGTCTACCAGTGTTGTAACCATCCTGTCAGGCTGTGGTATGGGGTCAGTTTACCCAGTCTACCAGTGTTGTAACCATCCTGTCAGGCTGTGGTATGGGGTCAGTTTACCCAGTCTACCAGTGTTGTAACCATCCTGTCAGGCTGTGGTATGGGGTCAGTTTACCCAGTCTACCAGTGCTGTAACCATCCTGTCAGGCTGTGGTATGGGGTCAGTTTACCCAGTCTACCAGTGTTGTAACCATCCTGTCAGGCTGTGGCACCCTATCCCCTATTTAGTGCACTCTGTTGACCAGGGCCCTAATAGGGAATAGGGTAATCTGACTCATGGCCTCTCCTCACAGGTGGCGGCTGAAGGAGACCAGAGAGGGCAGCAGTGAGTCATCCTCCCTCTTCTTCTCTCCCTCCCAGAGAGGGCAGCAGTGAGTCATCCTCCCTCTTCTTCTCTCCCTCCCAGAGAGAGCAGCAGTGAGACGCCTGTGAGGAGAGGCCATGAGTCATCCTCCCTCTTCTTCTCTCCCTCCCAGAGAGGGCAGCAGTGAGACGCCTGTGAGGAGAGGCCATGAGTCATCCTCCCTCTTCTTCTCTCCCTCCCAGAGAGGGCAGCAGTGAGACGCCTGTGAGGAGAGGCCATGAGTCATCCTCCCTCTTCTTCTCTCCCTCCCAGAGAGCAGCTGTAGAACTGTCTGTCTCTCTAAGCCTGTACAGGAGTGTTTTCTAATAAACTGTCAACAAATGCCTATCAGTTTGGTGTGGTGATTGATTAAAAAACCTTATTGGCATTTCTACAAACATTACATACAAACATTAAATGAACACGCATTACATTATTCAAATATGTACACTCCGGGATGGAACTTATGGATTTTGGCTAGCAGGGCTTCTAGACCGCAATTCCTACTAGCCTGTGTCCAAAACCGGTGCCGAGGGATATTTGAGAAGACAGAAAATGTCTACTAGCCCGGTCTGGAGAAGGCCAGGCCCGGGACACTATGCAGAGCACACACACAGAGCCTTCTGGAGAAGGCCCGGCCCGGGATATCTTAAATTCCATCCCTGTGGACACTATGCAGAGCACACACACAGAGCCTTCTGGAGAAGGCCCGGCCCGGGATATCTTAAATTCCATCCCTGTGAACACTATGCAGAGCACACACAGAGCTTTCTGCAAACATGTATTCAGAAACGGATCTACTGTAGAAGTAGTAAGGTACTATTGTTTTACGTCAGATAGCGTGATTATTTTTTTTATTTTTTAAGGGGGTAGATCAGATTTAATATTGCAGATATAGTGCATTTGGAAAGTATTCAGACCCCTTTACCTTTTCCACATTTTGTTACGTTACAGCCTTATTCTAAAATGGATTAAATAAAAATCTTCAATCTACACACAATACCCCATAATGACAAAGCAAAAACAGGTTTCGATAAATGTTTGCTAATTTATGAAATATCACATTTACACAAGTATTCAGACCCTTCACTCAGTACTTTTGTAGTGGAATTTTATTGTCTCTTAATGCTCTTTCAGTGTCTCACTTATTCTACATGTTTGGCCTGTTGCGTACTTAGAAATGCGCCTTTTGTAGAGGTCGGCTCAGCGGGAGTGAAAATATTGGCTGAACACCCACACTGTGATTGCCAGGTGTTTTCCTCCTCTGCAGCCGGTCTCTGGGAGCAAACTCATTGCTGAGAAAGGATGCACTCGGCTATCTTTGTGTAACCCGTAGCGATAGTAGAAATACGCTGAGTGGGAAATACAGTGCCCTCCACTATTATTGGCACCCTTGTTTAAGATGTGGTCGAGGACTTCCAAAAATTCTCCTTTTTTTTAAACAACATAGAACCCAAATGCAAAAAAATAGAAAAATCCAACCTTTTATTTAAGTACATTACTTTGGTGGTAAAAAAAAAAATCACACATTTAGAAAAAAAATTACTTGAAATCATGTGTCCCACAATTATTGGCACCCCTAACAATTCCGCTGAAAATGTTAATTGATTTTTTTTAAAATATATTTTTCTGTAGTTGCTAAAGTTGGTCAGGGTATCTAGGAACTTTTAATTAGTAATTCATGACCTCCTGTTTCCCCGGGGTATAAATATGACGTGACACAGAGGCCTAATTCTCTTACCCATTTGTCAACATGGCAAAGACAAGAGAACACACCATTCAAGTAAGGCAGATTTGTGTCGACCTTCATAAGTCAGGCAATGGCTACAAGAAAATAGCCACTCGCCTTAACTTGCCCGTATCTACAGTCAGAGGAATCATTAAGAAGTTTAAAACAACTGGAACAGTGACAAACAAGGCTGGAAGAGGTCCCAAGTTTATCTTGCCACAACGCACAGTGAGGAGGATGGTAAGAGAAGTAAAAAAAAGTCCTAAGCTCACTGTCACAGAATTGCATCAAAGAGTGGCATCTTGGGGTCACAAAGTCTCCAAAACAACCATCAGACGCTCTCTACATGCCAACAAGCTGTTTGGGAGGCATGCAAGGAAAAAGCCTTTTCTCACTAACACTCACAAACGTAAACGTCTGGAGTTTGCTAAGCGGCACTGGGACTTCAACTGGGATCGTGTGCTTTGGTCAGATGAGACTAAGATTGAGCTTTTTGGCAACAAACACTCTAAGTGGGTCTGGCGTAAAACAAAATATGAGTATGCCGAAAAGCACCTCATGCCCACCGTGAAGTATGGTGGAGGATCTGTGATGCTGTGGGCCTGTTTCTCTTCCAAAGGCCCTGGGAACCTTGTTAGGGTGCATGGCATTATGAACGCTTTGAACTACCAGGACATTTTAAATAAAAACCTGATGGCCTCTGCCAGAAAGCTGAAGATGGGTCGTCATTGGGTCTTTCAGCAGGATAATGATCCAAAACATGTGGCAAAATCTACACAAAAATGGTTCAGCAGTCACAAACTCAAGGTCCTCCCATGGCCATCTCAGTCCCCAGACATCAACCCAATCGAAAACCTGTGGGGCGAGCTAAAGAGGAGAGTGCATAAGAGAGGACCCAGGACACTGGATGATCTAGAAAGATTGTGCAAAGAAGAACGGTCAAAGATCCCTCTCTCTGTGTTCTCCAATCTTGTGAAATGTTATAGGAGGAGATTAAGTGCTGTCTTGTTGGCAAAAGGGGGTTGTACAAAGTATTAACATCAGGGGTGCCAATAATTGTGGGACACATGATTTCAAGTTTTTTTTTCTAAATGTGTGATTTTTTTTTTTACACCAAAGTAATGTACTTAAATAAAAGGTTGGATTTTTCTCTTTTTTTGCATTTGGGTTCTATGTTGTTTAAAAAAAAAGAATAATTTTTGGAAGTCCTCGACCACATCTTAAACAGGGGTGCCAATAATTGTGGAGGGCACTGTACCTCATCAGAGCTTCTGACTAAACTCCACATGAAGTGCTGTTTGTCTGTAATCTCTCCACTGGCGTGAATAAACAAATTAATTTCGGCTTGACTTTGGGGTCCTTAGTGGTTATCTCCACGACACTGTGTTGAAGCACCTTGGGCAGTGATTACAGCCTTGAGTCTTCTTGGGTATGACACTACAAGCTTGCCGCACCTGTATTTGGGTTTCTCCCATTCTTCTCAAGCTCTGTCAGGTTGGATGGGGAGCGTCGCTGCACAGCTATTTTCAGGTCTCTCCAGAGATGTTCGATCGGGTTCAAGTCCGGGCTCTGGCTGGGCCACTCAAGGACATTCAGAGACTTGTCCCAAAGCCACTCCTGTGTGCTTAGGGTCGTTGTCCTGTTGGAAGGTGAACCTTCGCCCCAGTCTGAGGTCCTGAGCGCTCTGGAGAAGGTTTTCATCAAGGATCTCTCTGTACTTTGCTCTGTTAATCTTTGCTTTCAAACTTTCTAAGTTCTTGACACTTTCCGTATTGACTGACCTTCATGTCTTAACGTAACTGTTGTTTCTCTTTGCTTATTTGATCTGTTCTTGCCATAATATGGACTTGGTCTTTTACCAAATAGGGCTATCTTCTGTATACCCCTGTCATCAAGGCAAAGGGTGGCTACTTTGAAGAATCTCAAATATTAAATATATTTTGATTTGTTTAACACTTTTTTGGTTACTACATGATTCCATATGTGTTATTTCATAGTTTTGATATCTTAACTCTTATTCTACAATGTAAAAAACAAAGAAAAACCCTTGAATGAGTAGGTGTGTCCAAACATTTGACTGATACTGTATTTTATTTAGTATATGTAAAGACAAGATTAAATCAAGAATAGTCTAATAGTGACAATATTAGCCTATCACTTGTGAATTATACACTGCTCAAAAAAATTAAGGGAACACTTAAACAACACAATGTAACTCCAAGTCAATCACACTTCTGTGAAATCAAACTGTCCACTTAGGAAGCAACACTGATTGACAATAAATGTCACATGCTGTTGTGCAAATGGAATAGACAACAGGTGGAAATTATAGGCAATTAGCAAGACACCCCCAATAAAGGACTGGTTTTGCAGGTGGTGACCACAGACCACTTCTCAGTTCCTATGCTTCCTGGCTGATGTTTTGGTCACTTTTGAATGCTGGCGGTGCTTTCACTCTAGTGGTAGCATGAGACGGAGTCTACAACCCACACAAGTGGCTCAGGTAGTGCAGCTCATCCAGGATGGCACATCAATGCGAGCTGTGGCAAGAAGGTTTGCTGTGTCTGTCAGCGTAGTGTCCAGAGCATGGAGGCACTACCAGGAGACAGGCCAGTACATCAGGAGACGTGGAGGAGGCCGTAGGAGGGCAACAACCCAGCAGCAGGACTGCTACCTCCGCCTTTGTGCAAGGAGGAGCAGGAGGAGCACTGCCAGAGCCCTGCAAAATGACCTCCAGCAGGCCACAAATGTGCATGTGTCTGCTCAAACGGTCAGAAACAGACTCCATGAGGGTGGTATGAGGGCCCGACGTCCACAGGTGGGGGTTGTGCTTACAGCCCAACACCGTGCAGGACGTTTGGCATTTGCCAGAGAACACCAAGATTGGCAAATTTGCCACTGGCGCCCTGTGCTCTTCACAGATGAAAGCAGGTTCACACTGAGCACATGTGACAGACGTGACAGAGTCTGGAGTCGCCGTGGAGAACGTTCTGCTGCCTGCAACATCCTCCAGCATGACCGGTTTGGCGGTGGGTCAGTCATGGTGTGGGGTGGCATTTCTTTGGGGGGCCGCACAGCCCTCCATGTGCTCGCCAGAGGTAGCCTGACTGCCATTAGGTACCGAGATGAGATCCTCAGACCCCTTGTGAGACCATATGCTGGTGCGGTTGGCCCTGGGTTCCTCCTAATGCAAGACAATGCTAGACCTCATGTGGCTGGAGTGTGTCAGCAGTTCCTGCAAGAGGAAGGCATTGATGCTATGGACCGCCCGTTCCCCAGACCTGAATCCAATTGAGCACATCTGGGACATCATGTCTCGCTCCATCCACCAACGCCACGTTGCACCACAGACTGTCCAGGAGTTGGTGGATGCTTTAGTCCAGGTCTGGGAGGAGATCCCTCAGGAGACCATCCGCCACCTCATCAGGAGCATGCCCAGGCATTGTAGGGAGGTCATACAGGCACGTGGAGGCCACACACACGACTGAGCCTCATTTTGACTTGTTTTAAGGACATTACATCAAAGTTGGATCAGCCTGTAGTGTGGTTTTCCACTTTAATTTTGAGGGTGACTCCAAATCCAGACCTCCATGGGTTGATACATTTGATTTCCATTGATAATTTTTGTGTGTAAAGTGTAAAGAAAAAAGTTTTTAATAAGATTATTTCATTCATTCAGATCTAGGATGTTTTATTTTAGTGTTCCCTTTATTTTTTTGAGCAGTGTATATGGATGAGCAATGTCATTATCAGAGTGGCATAGGCTAAGATGCAATAGATAGTGTAGAATACAGTATATACATATGAGATGGGTAATGCAATATATGTAAACATTATTAAAGTGTCATTATTAAAGTGACTAGTGTTCCATTTATTAAAGTGGCCAGTGATTTTCAAGTCTGTATGTAGGCAGCAGCCTCTGTGCTAGTGATGGCTGTTTAACAGTCTGACGGCCTTGAGATAGAAGCTGTTTTTCATTCTCTCAGTCCCAGCTTTGATACACCTGTACTGACCTCGCCTTCTGCATGATAGCGGGGTGAACAGGCAGTGGCCTTCCTGTGACATCGGGTGCTGTATGTGTCCTGGAGGGCAGGTAGTTTGCCCCCAGTGATGCGTTGGGCAGACCGCACCACCCTCTGGAGAGCCCTGTATATTATCATGCCCGACGGCACCACCCTCTGGAGAGCCCTGTATATTATCATGCCCGACGGCACCACCCTCTGGAGAGCCCTGTATATTATCATGCCCGACGGCACCACCCTCTGGAGAGCCCTGTATATTATCATGCCCGACCGCACCACCCTCTGGAGAGCCCTGTATATTATCATGCCCGACGGCACCACCCTCTGGAGAGCCCTGTATATTATCATGCCCAGTCCTAATATTAAGCACATTGCTTATCTTTACAACAGGAGTATAGCCTACCTGGCTGGCATGAAAATAAAACACGTGAAAGCGTCCTCCATTTGCTATTTAAGTGCATAGATGACGTATGTTTTACGCTGCCCCCGTTTCGAGACAGGTGCATGATAATGGTCCATTCTAAATCAAAATAAATGTCACACGTATATTATTTAGTTTATGTAAATACAAGTTTAAATCAAGAATAGTCTGATAGTGACAATATTAGCCTAAGGCACTGCATCTCAGTGCTTGAGGCGTCACTACAGACCCCCTGGTTCGATTCCAGGCTGTATCACAACCGGCCGTGATTGGGAGTCCCATAGGGCGGCGCACAATTGGCCCAGCGTCGTCCGGGTTTGGCCGGTGTAGGCCGTCATTGTAAATAAGAATTAGTACTTAACTGACTTGCCTGGATAAATAAAGGTAAAATAAAATAAAATCACTTGTGAATGATGCCCAGCTTGAGGCAAGAAACAAAGCCTTTTTTTGTGTGACTTTTTCACCTCATTTAGCCCTAGGCCTATGTTTTAATAAGGTTTGTATCACAACTAAAGTGGCCAAATAACTTCTTAAAATTAAGCACATTAATCCACTTTACAAGGGGTGTAGAGCCTAACTGGCATATAGTAAGCAGTGAATTTCAAGTTTGGGGAAGATAATTTTCACCATAAAAATGCACCTTTATAATAAAAGCATTACAGTGATGGGAAAAAAGTATTTGATCCCCTGCTGATTTTGTACGTTTGCCCACTGACAAAGAAATGATCAGTCTATAATTTTAATGGTAGGTTTATTTGAACAGTGAGAGACAGAATAACAACTAAAAAATCCAGAGAAACGCATGTAAAAAATGTTATAAATTGATTTGCATTTTAATGAGGGAAATAAGTATTTGACCCCCTCTCAATCAGAAAGATTTCTGGCTCCCAGGTGTCTTTTATACAGGTAACGAGCTGAGATTAGGAGCACACTCTTAAAGGGAGTGCTCCTAATCTCAGCTTGTTACCTGTATAAAAGACACCTGTCCACAGAAGCAATCAAATCAATCAGATTCCAAACTCTCCACCATGGCCAAGACCAAAAAGCTCTCCAAGGATGTCAGGGACAAGATTGTAGACCTACACAAGGCTGGAATGGGCTACAAGACCATCGCCAAGCAGCTTGGTGAGAAGTTGACAACAATTGGTGCGATTATTCGCAAATGGAAGAAACACAAAATAACTGTCAATCTCCCTTGGCCTGGGGCTCCATGCAAGATCTCACCTGAAAGCGTCCCAAAACACACGGCCAAGGCAACAAAGGAGTGGCTCAAGAAGCAGCACATTAAGGTCCTGGAGTGACCTAGCCAGTCTCCAGACCTCATGTAGCCAGGACTCCTCCACTGTGGGGCTCTATACCGCTCCCTCATGTAGCCAGGACTCCTCCACTGTGGGGCTCTATACCGCTCCCTCATGTAGCCAGGACCCCTCCACTGTGGGGCTCTATACCGCTCCCTCATGTAGCCAGGACTCCTCCACTGTGGGGCTCTATACCGCTCCCTCATGTAGCCAGGACCCCTCCACTGTGGGGCTCTATACCGCTCCCTCATGTAGCCAGGACCCCTCCACTGTGGGGCTCTATACCGCTCCCTCATGTAGCCAGGACTCCTCCACTGTGGGGCTCTATACCGCTCCCTCATGTAGCCAGGACTCCTCCACTGTGGGGCTCTATACCGCTCCCTCATGTAGCCAGGACTCCTCCACTGTGGGGCTCTATACCGCTCCCTCATGTAGCCAGGACCCCTCCACTGTGGGGCTCTATACCGCTCCCTCATGTAGCCAGGACTCCTCCACTGTGGGGCTCTATACCGCTCCCTCATGTAGCCAGGACTCCTCCACTGTGGGGCTCTATACCGCTCCCTCATGTAGCCAGGACTCCTCCACTGTGGGGCTCTATACCGCTCCCTCATGTAGCCAGGACTCCTCCACTGTGGGGCTCTATACCGCTCCCTCATGTAGCCAGGACTCCTCCACTGTGGGGCTCTATACCGCTCCCTCATGTAGCCAGGACTCCTCCACTGTGGGGCTCTATACCGCTCCCTCATGTAGCCAGGACTCCTCCACTGTGGGGCTCTATACCGCTCCCTCATGTAGCCAGGACTCCTCCACTGTGGGGCTCTATACCGCTCCCTCATGTAGCCAGGACTCCTCCACTGTGGGGCTCTATACCGCTCCCTCATGTAGCCAGGACTCCTCCACTGTGGGGCTCTATACCGCTCCCTCATGTAGCCAGGACTCCTCCACTGTGGGGCTCTATACCGCTCCCTCATGTAGCCAGGACTCCTCCACTGTGGGGCTCTATACCGCTCCCTCATGTAGCCAGGACTCCTCCACTGTGGGGCTCTATACCGCTCCCTCATGTAGCCAGGACTCCTCCACTGTGGGGCTCTATACCGCTCCCTCATGTAGCCAGGACTCCTCCACTGTGGGGCTCTATACCGCTCCCTCATGTAGCCAGGACTCCTCCACTGTGGGGCTCTATACCGCTCCCTCATGTAGCCAGGACTCCTCCACTGTGGGGCTCTATACCGCTCCCTCATGTAGCCAGGACTCCTCCACTGTGGGGCTCTATACCGCTCCCTCATGTAGCCAGGACTCCTCCACTGTGGGGCTCTATACCGCTCCCTCATGTAGCCAGGACTCCTCCACTGTGGGGCTCTATACCGCTCCCTCATGTAGCCAGGACCCCTCCACTGTGGGGCTCTATACCGCTCCCTCATGTAGCCAGGACCCCTCCACTGTGGGGCTCTATACCGCTCCCTCATGTAGCCAGGACTCCTCCACTGTGGGGCTCTATACCGCTCCCTCATGTAGCCAGGACTCCTCCACTGTGGGGCTCTATACCGCTCCCTCATGTAGCCAGGACTCCTCCACTGTGGGGCTCTATACCGCTCCCTCATGTAGCCAGGACTCCTCCACTGTGGGGCTCTATACCGCTCCCTCATGTAGCCAGGACTCCTCCCGCCCAACTTACTTCCTTCATCCAAACACCGACACGCGTTCCACAGTACAATGGATGGGCAAGAGGCATAAACTAAGGTACACTAATAACGAAGGAATATATCAAATCAGGCAAGTATGAATCATAAAGGTAAGTACCCAATATTTTTATCACATAAATGTATATTTATATTTCATATGGTGCTCTGTATGTGGTTAACTGTCTCGAACACCCTCTCTGCTCAGCATCATTGTCCCGTGTCTCCAGATCACTCTGTGGTGTAGATATATCCGGAAGCTTCTGTCAGAGGGTCACAGTTAGAAACTTCCTACTCCACCCACTGGTTCCCAGCCCACACCGAAGATCAGGACATCAAAATAATGTATTGGCTAAATTCATAGGGTTATAGAAAACATATACAGCTCTCTCCCCCACAGCTACCCACTACCCCCACTGGCTAACCGCGGCCCTCCCAGGTCAATGGGATATTCTGGCTCAGGGAGAATAAACCACACACGATACCCACAAAACTAAATGTATAATTAGATTAGTAGAAGATGAATATAATGCTAAAAAACACTCCACTGCAAACTGTATAAAGCTGGTGCTCTGTAACTGCAAACAGGTTCAAATGGTGCTCACACAATTATCGCCCCAGAGAACCACTGCCTTCGAAGGTTCCACTGTACTGCTTGAGGGGAGAGTATACTGGCCCAGTAGGAATAACAAAGCTCAGAGGCACACAGAGACACGGACAGACAGTTTAGAGATAAGGGGGAGACATTCTCTTCCCTCTTGTTCAACCGGCCATACTCGTGGAAGAGAAATGTATCCCCAAAATAAAAAATAAAATAAATAGCGAGAGAAATCTTGAGCTCGTTCAGGCCGTCTCTTTGCCCCATGGTGTGGATTTGCTCAGACTCACTCAGCTGCGCACGGTCTGGTCTCGTCCGGCCCTGCCTCCGCTCTGGAAACAAACAGCAGCAAATGGCTTTCAGTTATCAGCAAAACAGATCATGGAATTAACCCTGCAGAAGATCTCCCACACAAGGTCATTATAACCACACTCACATAAACCAGGTCATTATAACCACATAAACCAGGTAATTATAACCACTTACAAACCAGGTAATTACAGGGAGGGTAAAAAGTATTTGATCCCCTGCTGATTTTGTACGTTTGCCCACTGACAAAGAAATGATCAGTCTATAATTTTAATGGTAGGTTTATTTGAACAGTAAGAGATCGAATAACAACAAAAAAATCCAGAAAAATGCATGTCAAAAATGTTATAAATTGATTTGCATTTTAATGCGGGATATAAGTATTTGACCCCCTCTCAATCAGAAAGATTTCTGCCTCCCAGGTGTCTTTTATACAGGTAACGAGCTGAGATTAGGAGCACACTCTTAAAGGGAGTGCTCCTAATCTCAGCTTGTTACCTGTATAAAAGACAGCTGTCCACAGAAGTAATCAATCAATCAATCAGATTCCAAACTCTCCACCATGGCCAAGACCAAAAAGCTCTCCAAGGATGTCAGGGACAAGATTGTAGACCTACACAAGGCTGGAATGGGCTACAAGACCATCGCCAAGCAGCTTGGTAAGAAGGTGACAACAGTTGGTGCGATTATTCGCAAATGGAAGAAACACAAAATAACTGTCAATGTCCCTCGGCCTGGGGCTCCATGCAAGATCTCACCTCGTGGAGTTGCAATGATCATGAGAACGGTGAGGAATCAGCCCAGAACTACACGGGAGGATTTTGTCAATGATCTCAAGGCAGCTGGGACCATAGTCACCAAGAAAACAATTGGTAACACACTACGCCGTGAAGGACTGAAATCCTGCAGCGCCCGCAAGGTCCCCCTGCTCAAGAAAGCACATATACAGGGCCGTCTAAAGTTTTCCAATGAACATCTGAATGATTCAGAGGAGAACTGGGTGAAAGTGTTGTGGTCAGATGAGACCAAAATGGAGCTCTTTGGCATCAACTCAACTCGCTGTGTTTGGAGGAGGAGGAATGCTGCCTATGACCCCAAGAACACCATCCCCACCGTCAAACATGGAGGTGGAAACCTTATGCTTTGGGGGTGTTTTTCTGCTAAGGGGACAGGACAACTTCACCGCATCAAAGGGACGATGGACGGGGCCATGTACCGTCAAATCTTGGGTGAGAACCTCCTTCCCTCAGCCAGGGCATTGAAAATGGGTCGTGGATGGGTATTCCAGCATGACAATGACCCAAAACACACGGCCAAGGCAACAAAGGAGTGGCTCAAGAAGAAGCACATTAAAGTCCTGGAGTGGCCTAGCCAGTCTCCAGACCTTAATCCCATAGAAAATCTGTGGAGGGAGCTGAAGGTTCGAGTTGCCAAACGTCAGCCTCAAAACCTTAATGACTTGGAGAAGATCTGCAAAGAGGAGTGGAACAAAATCCCTCCTGAGATGTGTGCAAACCCGGTGGCCAACTACAAGAAACGTCTGACCTCTGTGATTGCCAACAAGGGTTTTGCCACCAAGTACTAAGTCATATTTTGCAGAGGGGTCAAATACTTATTTCCCTCATTAAAATGCAAATCAATTTATAACATTTCTGACATGCGTTTTTCTGGATTTTTTTGTTGTTATTCTGTCTCTCACTGTTCAAATAAACCTACCATTAAAATTATAGACTGATCATGTCTTTGTCAGTGGGCAAATGTACAAAATCAGCAGGGGATCAAATACTTTTTTCCCTCACTGTATATACACACATACATACATACATACATACATACATACATACATACATACATATATACATATCCTTTAAAAAATATTATTACTTTCCAACTCCACCACCCTTTCCCTACTTGGAGTAAACTAGTGAACAACAATGCTTAGGCCTCTACTTCCAGCTTATACTTACTATCTACATTTTATGGACACAGTCAATTTTACAATAATTATATTTTGTTTGTTTTTTCTCCTGAACTTCTTCTACTCTCAACCTCTCCGATCATTTTCATGATGTCCATCCGGTTTGCTTCTATATGCCATATCTTTCTAACTGTGCTCTTTCACAAAAGCTCCCAACCTACAACCTATATACTTATTATGGACACAGTATGCTTTACACTAGTTATCTTGTTGTTATTAGTTGTTGTTATTAGTCCCATCCTTCAGCTCCATTCAACACCTCCCATCTATCTCTTAATACCATCCATATTGGATTTCTATTTGCCATATATTTTTCAACTGTACTGTGATGTTTTACAAAAGTTCTGAACCTTTCTATTCTCATTGTTTCTACAGATTGTGAATTGAAAAGAAACATTTTTGCTAAAAGTATTATTATATTATTGATCGATTGACTATGACTTTTCAGATCACCCAGGTTAGCTCCAGGTAAATATTGCAATCCATTCCTGGACCTGTGTCCAAAAACAAGCTACAGATGGACAGTACCAAAACAAATGATCTAATGCTTCTGTCTCTTCGCAGCAAAATCTGCAGAGCTGGGAAGATTGTATCCCCCATATAAATAACATTCTATTGGTAGCAATAATTTTGTATAACAACTTAAATTGAAAAATTCTAAGTTTTGAATCCGGCGTCGTTTTGCGTATCAGTTCATAAACACTATGCCATGGGATCGGTACGTCAAAAATCTCTTCCCAACTATTTTGCAATCTATATGGGACGGCTGTCAATCCTTTTGTCCTTAAATGAAACAGACAAGTTCCTTACTTTCTCCCCCTTCCACTTTCCTCTTCCATTTTTGCGGTAAGGCTGCAATTATTTGGTTGTAATTTTGGGTAGAGCAGACAGTCAGCAATTGCTGGCATGTCATGCCTAAGTTTGCTAATCTTGCCAATGAAATACTTATTGAAGTAGTTGGCAATATCAGTTGGTTTTGTGATGAATGAGCCATCTGATTCAATGAATGATGGAGCTGAGTTTGCCTTTTTTCCCAAAATGTAATTGAAGGTGCTCCAAAGCTTTTTACTATCATTCTTTGTCATTTATCTTTGTTTCATAGTGTAATTTCTTCTTCTTGTTATTCAGTTTAGTCACATGATTTCTCAATTTGCAGTACGTTTGCCAATTGGTTGTGCAGCCAGACTTATTTGCCATTCCTTTTGCCTCATCCCTCTCAACCATACAATTTTTCAATTCCTCATCAATCCACAGGGATTTAACAGTTTTTACATTCGTTTTCTTAATGGGTGCATGCTTATTAGTAACTGGAATAAGCAATTTCATAAATGTGTCAAGTGCAGCATCTGTTTGCTTCTTATTACACACCACGGACCAACATATATAGTTGAAGTTGGAAGTTTACATACACTTAGGTTGGAGTCATTAAAACTTGTTTTTCAACCACTCCACAAATGTCTTGTTAATAAACTATAGTTTTGGCAAGTCGGTTAGGACATCTACTTTGTTTATGACACAAGTAATTTTTACAACAATTGTTTACAGACAGATTATTTCACTTATAATTCACTGTATCACAATTCCAGTGGGTCAGAAGTTTACATACACTAAATTGACTGTGCCTTTCAACAGCTTGGAAAATTCCAGAAAATGATGTCATGGCTTTAGAAGCATCTGATAGGCTAATTGACATAATTTGAGTCAATTGGAGGTGTACCTGTGGATGTATTTCAAGGCCTACCTTCAAACTCAGTGCCTCGTTGCTTGACATCATGGGAAAATCAAAAGAAATCAGCCAAGACCTCAGAAAAATAATTGTAGACCTCCACAAGTCTGGTGCATCCTTGGGAGCAATTTCCAAATGCCTGAAGGTACCACGTTCATCTGTACAAACAATAGCAAGTATAAACACCATGGGACCACACAGCCGTCATACCGCTCAGGAAGGAGACGCGTTCTGTCTCCTAGAGATGAACGTACTTTGGTGCGAAAAGTGCAAATCAATCCCTTGTGAAGATGTTGGAGGAAACAGGTACAAAGGTATCTATATCCACAGTTAAATGAGTCCTATATCGACATAACCTGAAAGGCCGCTCAGCAAGAAAGAAGCCACTGCTCCAAAACCGCCATAGAAAAGCCAGACTACGGTTTGCAACTGCACATGGGGACAAAGATCGTACTTTTTGGAGAAATGTCCTCTGGTCTGATGAAACATAAATAGAACTGTTTGGCCATAATGACCATCGTTATGTTTGGAGGAAAAAGGGGAGTGCTTGCAAGCCGAACAACACCATCCCAACAGTGAAGCACGGGGGTGCCAGCATCATGCTGTGGGGGTGCTTTGCTGCAGGAGGGACTGGTGCACTTCACAAAATAGATGGCATCATGAGGAAAATTATGTGAATATATTGAAGCAACATGTCAAGACATCAGTCAGGAAGTTAAAGATTGGTCACAAATGGGTCTTCCAAATGGACAATGACCCCAAGCATACTTCCAAAGTTGTGGCAAAATGGCTTAAGGACAACAAAGGTATTGGAGTGGCCATCACAAAGCCCTGACCTCAATTCTATAGAAAATGTGTGGGCAGAACTGAAAAGGCGTGTGCGAGCAAGGAGGCCTACAAACCTGACTCAGTTACACCAGCTCTGTCAGGAGGAATGGGCCAAAATTCACCCAACTTATTGTGGGACGCTTGTGGAAGGCTACCCGAAACGTTTGACCCAAGTTAAACAATTTAAAGGCAATGCTACCGAATACTAATTGAGTGTATGTAAACTTCTGACCCACTGGGAATGTGATGAAAGAAATAAAAGCTGAATTATTATTCTGACATTTCACATTCTTAAAATAAAGTGGTGATCCTAACTGACCTAAAACAGGGAATTTCTACTAGGATTAAATGTCAGGAATTGTGGAAAACTGAGTTTAAATGTATTTGGTTAAGGTGTATGTAAACTTCCGACTTCAACTGTATTCTTATACACAATATTAGGCCCAGCCTTTGGAACTTTGGTTTTCCTAGATATGGCTACTACATTGTGATCACTACATCCAATGGATGTGAATACTGCTTTCAAACAAATCTCTGCAGCATTAGTAAAGATATGATCAATACATGTTGATTATTTAATTCCTGTACTGTTTGTAACCACCCTGGTTGTTATTTGAAAAGGAAATAATCTCCCAAATATCACTATTTCTAAAACAAGCCATAGAAAGTTGGTTGCAATTTCAATTTAATCCTCCAGAAACTACAGAACAAATAATGCAACAAATATTGTGGTTAAAATCAAATATAGTAATTGATTTAAAAAAATGTTTTGGACAAAATGTTTAAAAAATGTATAATCTTCCTAAATGATATCATCGGTAGGACTGGTGGAGTTATGTCGCACATGCAGCTAACAAAAACATATGGAAATGTCTGCTCTACCCAAAATTACAACCAAATAATTGCAGCCTTACCGCAAAAATGGAAGAGGAAAGTGGAAGGAGGAGAAAGTAAGGAACTTGTCTGTTTCATTTAAGGACAAAAGGATTGACAGCCGTCCCATATAGATTGCAAAATAGTTGGGAAGAGATTTTTGACATACCGATCCCATGGAACTGATACGCAAAACAACGCCGGATTCAACATTTTTCAATGTAAATTATTATATAAAATTATTGCTACCAATAGAATGTTATTTATATGGGGGATACAATCTTCCCAGCTCTGCAGATTTTGCTGCGAAGAGACAGAATCATTAGATCATTTGTTTTGGTACTGTCCATTTGTAGCTTGTTTTTGGACACAGGTCCAGGAATGGCTAAAGAATTGCAATATTTACCAGGAGCTAACCCTGCAGATAGCACTACTGGGTGATCTGAAAAGTCATAGTCAATCGATTAATAATATAATAATACTTTTAGCAAAAATGCTTATTTTCAATTTACAATCTGTAGAAACAATGAGAATGGAAAGGTTCAGAACTTTTGTAAAGCATCACAGTACAGTTGAAAAATATATGGCAAATAGAAATCCAATATGGATGGTATTAAGAGATAGATGGGTGGTGTTGAATGGAGTTGAATGATGGGACTAATAACATCTAACAACAAGATAACTAATAATGTAAGCATACTGTGTCCATAATAAGTATATAGGTTGTATGTTGGGAGCTTTTGTGAAAGAGCACAGTTAGAAAGATATGGCATATAGAAGCAAACCGGATGGACATCATGAAAATGATCTGAGAGGTTGAGAGTAGAAGAAGTTCAGGGGTAAAAACAAACAAAATATAATTATTGTAAAATTGACTGTGTCCATAAAATGTATATAGTATGTATAAGCTGGAAGTAGAGGCCTAAGCATTGTTGTTCACTAGTTTACTCCAATTAGGGAAGGGGTGGTGGGGTTGGAAAGTAATAAAGGGGAATATATTTTATTTAAAGGATGTATATATATGTATGTATGTGTATGTATCTGTATATGTATGTGTGTATATATACAGTGGGGAGAACAAGTATTTGATACACTGCCGATTTTGCAGGTTTTGCTACTTACAAAGCATGTAGAGGTCTGTAATTTTTATCATAGGTACACTTCAACTGTGAGAGACAGAATCTAAAACAGTAGGCACTGCAACCGCAGACACAGGCATCCCCAGCGACAAAGGTGCAGGAAGATCAGGCTCCAGGAAGGAGAAACTATTCGTTGTTTGTATCCGCTCCGGGCCTCTCGTTGGGAGTGTAGACTGCTTTGCGGGAGGTCGCTGTCTTCGGCTTCCACGGCTCGTGACATGCGACCATCGTTGATTGCCTTTCTCCTCATGCTGTGCTCCTTCGACGGCGCTATCAGATGGGGGAGCTCCGGGCAACACCGGCCAGTCAGATAACGACAAACGACAAGGCGGAGATGCATCCAACAAGCGCGAACGCCGTCCAGCCACCGGCGTAGAAAAGGTAAACATTCCACTCTGCGTTTTCCCCAGTTTCTTACGTAGGCTGGTGACCTGCGTGATCAAGGAAGCCTCCTGGTGACCTGCGTGATCAAGGAAGCCACCTCAAGACTATAATCCTCGGCAAGCAAACAGTTGCCGCATTGGAACTCAGAGTGATCCAGTTTGTCCCGAAAACAAAGCGTAGTAGATACAGCTCCTACAGCGCTGGAACCGTTCATTTAGTTCTCCAGACAAAGAGGGCTCCATTGGAAAACCCATCAGGTACCAACTTCGTTAGCTTGATGGCTAGCAGCTTAGCGTCTCTGTCAAGCAGGCTTTAACCTGTCTCTTAAGCGGGATTCCGGGACAACAAATAGCAGTCCTAGCTGTTAAAAGCTAACCGCGTCGTGGAATCCACGCAAAAACAAGTTCTGTATTCGTATTCATGAATAGTATTTTGGTTTTAATAAAAAATAACAAGCAAAGTGTTTTCCAGCATATAATGTTCAGCTGCGCACTCTGATGATGTCAGCAGGGTGGATGGAGTAACGCATGATTCGCATACCGCCCCAACAGATCCGTGGATGGAGTAACGCATGATTCGCATACCGCCCCAACAGATCCACAGATGGAGTAACGCATGATTCGCATACCGCCCCAACAGATCCACAGATGGAGTAACGCATGATTCGCATACCGTTCCAACAGATCCACAGATGGAGTAACGCATGATTCGCATACCGTCCCAACAGATCCACAGATGGAGTAACGCATGATTCGCATACCGCCCCAACAGATCCACAGATGGAGTAACGCATGATTCGCATACCGCCCCAACAGATCCACAGATGGAGTAACGCATGATTCGCATACCGTCCCAACAGATCCACAGATGGAGTAACGCATGATTCGCATACCGTCCCAACAGATCCACAGATGGAGTAACGCATGATTCGCATACCGCCCCAACAGATCCACAGATGGAGTAACGCATGATTCGCATACCGCCCCAACAGATCCACAGATGGAGTAACGCATGATTCGCATACCGTCCCAACAGATCCACAGATGGAGTAACGCATGATTCGCATACCGCCCCAACAGATCCGTGGATGGAGTAACGCATGATTCGCATACCGCCCCAACAGATCCACAGATGGAGTAACGCATGATTCGCATACCGCCCCAACAGATCCACAGATGGAGTAACGCATGATTCGCATACCGTCCCAACAGATCCACAGATGATGCAATCTCAATCGCACTCCACACTGCCCTTTCCCACCTGGAGAAAAGGAACACTTATGTGAGAATGCTGTTCATTGACTACAGCTCAGCATTCAACACCATAGTGCCCACAAAGCTCATCACTAAGCTAAGGACACTGGGACTAAACACCTCCCTCTGCAACTGGATCCTGGACTTCCTGACGGGCCGCCCCCCAGGTGGTAAGGGTAGGTAACAACACATCTGCCACGCTGATCCTCAACACGGGGGCCCCTCAGGGGTGCGTGCGCAGTCCCTTCCTGTACTCCCTGTTCACCCACGACTGCATGGCAAAGCACGACTCCAACACCATCATTAAGTTTGCTGACAACACAACAGTGGTAGGCCTGATCACCGACAACGATGAGACAGCCTATAGGGAGGAGGTGAGAGACCTGGCCGTGTGGTGCCAGGACAACAACCTCTCCTTTAATGTGAGGAAGACAAAGGAGCTGATCGTGGACTACAGGAAAAGGAGGGCTGAACACGCCCCCATTCACATCGACGGGCTGTAGTGGAGCGGGTCGAGAGTTTCAAGCTCCTTGGTGTCCACATCACCAACAAACTATTATGGTCCAAACACACTAAGACAGTCGTGAAGAGGGCACGACAACACCTTTTCCCCTCAGGAGACTGAAAAGATTTGGCATGGGTCTCCAGATCCTCAAAAGGTTGTACAGCTGCACTAGAGGTCATCCTGACCGGTTGCATCACCGCCTGGTATGGCATCCAACCATAAGGCACTACAGAGGGTAGTGCTTATGGCCCAGTTCATCACTGGGACCAAGCTTCCTGCTATTCAGGACCTATATACTAGGCGGTGTCAGAGGAAGGCCCAAAAGACTCCAGCCTCCCTAGTCATAAACTGTTTTCTCTGCTACCGCACAGCAAGCGGTACCGGAGTGCCAAGTCTAGGTCCAAAAGACTTCTTAACAGCTTCTACCACCAAGCCATAAGACTCCTGAACAATTAATAAAATGGCCACCTGGACTATTTACATTGACCCTGTGGTGGAAATTCTAACCAGAAGGAGAGAGACTGTAGATTCTTCAAACAACAACTTTATTATAAGATTTGCAAAAATGGAACAATCAACAATCGCTTAAATAGTGCAGAGTTAAATGCCCGATGAACAGAATTGTCTCTCAGCTTTTATAGAAAGAGTACAACCTCTTTTGTCTACGTGGCAGTTAGCAGATGTGTGGAAACAGGGGCGGAACATAGTATAAAAGGTGATTGGTTTGTCTGTGCAGATTAAGATAGACGGTTGAGTCCTCGGGCTAACTACATTTGTCACAGCTCACACTATAATGTGCTCCTTCCTGCAAGTTCCCATTCAGCTGACTTCCTGCAGATGGTAAAAACCACGGGATGTCTCCCATGCTGCGGTCGCACCCAAACAGATCTTAGCTATACGCCCAGTCTTATGACCAAGTCACACAAAGACAAGTTTGTATCAGGTTAGAAAAAAACACTAGCATATAACCAGAGACAATTCTCTAAGTAGTAAAACACGGGATAGCGTGACTAATTAATAAATGTTCCACCGTATATTTTCTCCTAATCCTAACTGGACACATGAATGTTCTTGCAACGTTCCCATGAAATGTGTCTAGAACATTAATATTGGATATTCTGAGAACATGTAAACCATGTTCTGGGGATGTTCTGTTCTCCTAACTCTAACGCCAAAACATGCTAGAAGGTTATCAGAAGGTTTTTGCTAACATAGACAGAATGTTCCCCCAACTAACAGAAAACTGCACACTCAAATATTAGTGGAAAATTACGGGTAACATTGCAGAAACGTTCTCTCGCCATAGAATTGTTAGCTGGGACAAACCTGTTTCAGCTCCTTCAGCTTCCTCTCTCTCTCTCCTGAATGCTCTGCGGAAACAGCTTGAGTTTCAGTTCTTTCAGCTTCCTGAAGGTCTGCACTGGGGGCAGCTGTAGACCCCCCTCTGATCATCCTGATCCCAGTGGTCATTAATACAGCCCAGACAGTAGCTATGTCCACAGGGAATAGTGACCAGATCCTGTAGATCCTCAACTGATGGAGGCTATATTCTCTGCTATGTTAAACACACAGACAGACGGGCTGAATGAGCGTGACTTTCCTTTCCTCACACACACAGAACTGGGAGTGGCCTTCTAGGTGTGTTCGAGAGAGAGAGAGAGAACTGAAGTTAAATGGCTAGAGGCAACACCAGGGGGCGACGGTTCATAAATGGAGGTCTTTATGCATTTTGAGAAACAAGACATCTCATCGCTCCTCTATAGGGGTGTAGAAGAGCAGATCCAGAGCCCAAACATACACAGGAGCCCACACCACATACCCACACCCGAACCCTAACTAGACCCCTACACTAGACACCCGACACGACACACACACACACTATACCACCCACACACCCGACACAACCTAACACCAACACCACACCATACCAACCCGACACATACACCTACACCCTACACATACAAAACCCACACCAACACTACAACAACACCCTACACCCTACACCATACACCCTACACCTACACAACACCTAAAACACCCACACCCTACACAACACTACACACCCTACACCATACACCCTACACCACTACACAACACCCTACACACAGACACCCTACAACCCTACACCCATAACCCACACCCCACACAACAACAGAGACACCCTACACCCTACACATACACCTACCCACACCACACCAACACCCTACACGTACACCGATACAACACCATACACCCTACACCCACACTACACACCCTACACCACACCTACACTACACCTACACCCTACACCACTACACACCCTACACCCACAGAAACCCTACACCCTACACCTATACACCACCCTACACCCTAAATAGCACCCTACACCCTACACACTACACATACACCCTACACACACTATACACCCTATACACCTACACCCTACACCTACACTATACACCCTCACCTACACCTACCCTAACAACCCTACACCCTACACTATACACCCTACACCCATACACCCTACACTATACACCCTACACCTATACACCCTACACCCTACACCTAACCACATACACCCTACACCATACACTATACACCCTACACCCTACACATAACACCCTACAACCCTACACTACACACACCACACTAACACCCTACACTAACACCCTACACCTACAACACAACAACCCCACAACTATAACACCCTACACATACACCTACACTACACCAACAAACCCTACACCAAAACCCACACACACCATACAACCTACACTATACACCCTACACTATATCACACTACACAACCCTATCACCCTACACACTAACTATAACCCTACACCCTACACTAACACACCTAAAACCCTACACTATACACACAACCCTACACACCCTACACCCTACACTATACACCCTACACCCTACACCCTACACACCCTACACCACCCTACACACACACCCTACACCCTACCAACCCTAACACTATACAAACCCACACACACTACACCCGACCCCTACACCTAACAACACTACACCCTTACACCCACACCCAACTACACTTACACCCTACACCACACACTATACACCCTACACCCTAACACGCAACACCCTACACCCACACCATACACCCTGACACTATACACACACCCCACACGACACCCAACACCCACCCCCCACACACCTACACCCTACACATACACCCTACACATACCCCTAACACCCTACACCTAGACCCTCACCTACAACCCTACACAAACCCAACACCCTAACACTAACACCCTACACACTATACACCCATACACTAAACCCACCCTACACCTACAACCCAACACCCTACACCCTACACCCCATAACACCCTAACACTAACACCTTAACACCCTACTACACTATACACCCTACCCCTACACCCTACACACTAACACCCTACACCTAGAACCTACAAACCCCCAACACCCTACACACTACACCCTACACTATACACCCCACAACCCACCAACCACACCACTACACTAACACCTACCACCCTACACCACCCTAGACACCCTAAAACTCTACACCCACCTACAACACCTACACCTCAACACCCTATCACTATACACACCTACACCCTAACTATACACCCTCACTAACACTATCACCCTACACACTAACACAAACCCTACAACCCTACACTATACCCCTACACATAACACCCTACACTACTACACCCTAACCAACACCCTACACCCTACACCCTACACCCTACACCCTACACACACCCTACACCCTACACTATACACCCTACACTATACACCCTACACCATACACCTACAATACATACCCTACACCCTACACACCCTACACTATACACCCTACACCCTACACAACACACCCTACACCACACCCACACACCCTATACATAACCTAACCCTACCACTAACAACACCCTACACCTACTACCCTACACTATACACCCTACACCATACACCTAACACTATACACCCTAAACCAACCCTAACACCCTACACATACACCCTACAACCCTACACCTACACCCTACACTATACACTACACTGATACACCCTACACCCTACACCCTACAACAACACCCTACACCCTAACACCCGACAATATAAACCCTACACCCACACACTACAACACCCTACACTTATAACACCCTACCACTAACAACCCTACACCCTACACCCTACACCCTACACCCTACACCCACAAACCCCTACACCCTACACCATACACCCTACACACACCCTACACCCTACACTATACACTTACACCCTACACCCTACACTATACACCCTACACCCTACACTATACACCCTACACCCTACACCATACACTATACACACACATAGAGAGAGAGAAACACTTGTATCATTACACACCACTCTGCTGTAATCTCAGTATCATAGTGTTGGTCCCAAATGGCACCCTATTGTCTATATAGACCCCTATGGGCCATGCTCCAAAGTAGTCAACTATTTACATTTACATTTTAGTCATTTAGCAGACGCTCTTATCCAGAGCCACTTACAGTTAGTGAGTTCATACATTATTTTTATTTTTTCATACTGGACCCCCATGGGAATCAAACCCACAACCCTGGCGTTGCAAACGCCATGCTCTACCAACTGAGCTACATCCCTGCCGGCCATTCCCTCCCCTATCCTGGGCCAATTGTGCGCCGCCCCATGGGTCTCCCGGTCGCGGCCGGCTACGACAGAGCCTGGATTCGAACCGGATTCGAACCAGTGCCTTAGACCACTGCGCCACTCGGGAATTACTATATAGGGGAGCCTTAATAGGAATGCTGTGAGAGAGGGGAAGGCAGACTTTCCTATGATCATTAAATACATGATATATTATTATACTTTACAGGTCATGTAGAGGAACTTAGAGCAGCTAACTACAAGCTATACATTACACAATATCCACTGCAGTATTTCAACACACACACGTATAAGAATCATACAGTTAAAAATATGCAATAGAATAGTCTAAAAGGTGTCGTGGTGCTGACAGGTGCCTGGTCTCTCTGAGGGTCTGGTCTGGTCCCCAGTGTCCTGGTTGGGAAGGTGTAGTTCTCATGCCAGTCTGGTCCCCACTGTCCTGGTTGGGAAGGTGTAGTTCTCATGCCAGTCTGGTCCCCACTGTCCTGGTTGGGAAGGTGTAGTTCTCATGCCAGTCTGGTCCCTACTGTCCTGGTTGGGAAGGTGTAGTTCTCATGCCAGTCTGGTCCCCACTGTCCTGGTTGGGAAGGTGTAGTTCTCATGCCAGTCTGGTCCCCACTGTCCTGGTTGGGAAGGTGTAGTTCTCATGCCAGTCTGGTCCCTACTGTCCTGGTTGGGAAGGTGTAGTTCTCATGCCAGTCTGGTCCCTACTGTCCTGGTTGGGAAGGTGTAGTTCTCATGCCAGTCTGGTCCCTACTGTCCTGGTTGGGAAGGTGTAGTTCTCATGCCAGTCTGGTCCCCACTGTCCTGGTTGGGAAGGTGTAGTCCTCATGCCAGTCTGGTCCCCACTGTCCTGGTTGGGAAGGTGTAGTTCTCATGCCAGTCTGGTCCCCACTGTCCTGGTTGGGAAGGTGTAGTTCTCATGCCAGTCTGGTCCCCACTGTCCTGGTTGGGAAGGTGTAGTTCTCATGCCAGTCTGGTCCCCACTGTCCTGGTTGGGAAGGTGTAGTTCTCATGCCAGTCTGGTCCCTACTGTCCTGGTTGGGAAGGTGTAGTTCTCATGCCAGTCTGGTCCCCACTGTCCTGGTTGGGAAGGTGTAGTTCTCATGCCAGTCTGGTCCCCAGTGTCCTGGTTGGGAAGGTGTAGTTCTCTTGCCAGTCTGGTCCCCACTGTCCTGGTTGGGAAGGTGTAGTTCTCATGCCAGTCTGGTCCCCAGTGTCCTGGTTGGGAAGGTGTAGTTCTCATGCCAGTCTGGTCCCCACTGTCCTGGTTGGGAAGGTGTAGTTCTCATGCCAGTCTGGTCCCCAGTGTCCTGGTTGGGAAGGTGTAGTTCTCATGCCAGTCTGGTCCCCACTGTCCTGGTTGGGAAGGTGTAGTTCTCATGCCAGTCTGGTCCCCACTGTCCTGGTTGGGAAGGTGTAGTTCTCATGGCAGTCTGGTCCCCACTGTCCTGGTTGGGAAGGTGTAGTTCTCATGCCAGTCTGGTCCCCACTGTCCTGGTTGGGAAGGTGTAGTTCTCATGGCAGTCTGGTCCCCACTGTCCTGGTTGGGAAGGTGTAGTTCTCATGGCAGTCTGGTCCCCACTGTCCTGGTTGGGAAGGTGTAGTTCTCATGCCAGTCTGGTCCCCACTGTCCTGGTTGGGAAGGTGTAGTTCTCATGCCAGTCTGGTCCCTACTGTCCTGGTTGGGAAGGTGTAGTTCTCATGCCAGTCTGGTCCCTACTGTCCTGGTTGGGAAGGTGTAGTTCTCATGCCTCTCCACACAGGGGTTCTGTTTC